GACAAATTGCGCATGACTACAGCTGTACGTGGCCAGTGTGTGGAAGTGCACAGTAGGTGTGGGCAGCTTGGGGGTGAAGTTTCCTTCCTTTGTTTTACATTGAAGTCATGAGTCTAGATAGTAGAGCTGAACGATTTTGGTGAAATATGAGAGGCTTTGTTCACACAGCAGGTAAAAGTGGCCTAAATCTGATCTAGTTCTTCATATGTGACACAGACGTGTGTGTGAACAGATAAACACACTGAATCTGACTTTTTCACTTTTCACTTTTTCCGATACGTATCTGATCTGCGCCAATGCGACTCAGTCTGAACAGCCAGATCGGAATTCATGCGACTTTTACGTCAATCCAACCCGACATTCGTCATCATTTCACACTGCTGAGGCTCTGCTGAGATGTCCGAACGCGGCCGCAGGAGAACGAGGCTGCAGCGTCAAAGAACAGTTAAAAGTCTGAAAGCAGTTTAATGAATCCGAGGACGCGAACCAAAGAAGTGACCGCGCCCTTTTTACGGCTCAAACACGTTCTGGGTGATGAGCCCAGCTGTCAGTCAGTGAAGCTTCATGATGGCTCCTGTGATGCTGGTGAAGATGAAGCTGATCCTCCGGGAGCGACTGGCGTTCGTTGGCGGTCGTGATTGTTTACCTCTGGATGAGCCGTGAAGCAGCGTGACGCTCTGTTCTTTAGTGGGTCAGTTTAGGAGCTGATCTGTTCAGACTGATGTCGCATTCAGATCACATTTAAAAGATAATCTGAACAGCCAAACAAAAAAAATCAGATTTGGTGAGAAAATCAGATTTGGGCCACTTTTACCTGCTGTGTGAAAGTAGCCTAATTTCAATTTTTCTGTCCAATATTGCGATTATGATTTAAATTGCGAATGTTTTCTATAAACTGATGTCTGAGTCTTTTTTTGACTAAGAAGACCAGCGTATACGTTTCTGGCTTGAAGCTTGAACTCTTAACACGGAGCACCAGCCTCCCAGTTATTTGCGGTTGTGATGTCACAGCACACGGTTGTTTGGTCGCTTCTGATTCGTCAAATTCATCTAAAAGCAGTTCACGAGCTCCGTGTGATTAGGTTAAATTTCCCTACTTAAACCTCACAACGTATCAACATTCACACTCCAAAAAGACGGTTCTTTAAGGGTTCTTTAGTAAGGAAATTGGTTCTATATGGAACTATGAACCCTCAAGAAACTCTTGGCCTGATTAAATGTTTTTTGCATTGTGAAACGGTTCTTCTTACTGATGGAAAATGTGTTGTATATGGTTCTATATAGCACCCAAACGGGTTCTGCTACTGTTACTAGCTTGACACCGTAACAACAGAAGAACCCTTTTGGGTGCTGTATAGAACCCTTTTCAAAAAGGTTCTATATAGAAGCATCTACAGCACATTCTCCATCAATCTGAAGAACCTTTCACGATGAGAGGAACCATTTAATCATGCAAAGCGTTCTTTGAGGTGTTCACGGTTCTGTATAGAACCATTTTCTTTACTAAAGAACCCCCTTTTTTAAAAGTGTACTTGAATAGACTGTAAGACTATGATCAAAACTGCAGCTCCTGCAATTTGAAAATTGCACTCTTTAAAATTGCGATTAATCGATTTCGGTATAAATGATTAATCTTCCAGCCGTACTAGATAGCATGTACACACGTTTTCTAAACCGCTTATCCTTCTGGGTCATGGGGGGTGGTTCTGGAGCCTATGCCAGCGGTCATTGGGTGGAAGGCCCAAGGATACACCCTGGACGGGTCACCATGGATAGCATGTAATGGAAGCTTAACTTTGACAGTGTTTGTGTCCATTTTTTACAAATGGTGTAGAGGAGTCACACATTGATGATGACAACAAATAAACACACCAGCAAGTCTACACTGTCTATAAACATTCACAAAAATACAGGCAGAATTCAGGCTTCAGGATTGCTGCTGCTACAGTCTTGCGGGACCAGACACGATCTCATAACAAGAATACACACCTGAGCACAGCTTGTTAAAGTTTTGGTGATGGATTGCAGCAAAATCTGTCGCAAACGAGGGTACATATCACCCCCTGTTCCTCTAGCCCTGCTGTTTTAACGCCCCCTATTTTGAGCTCCTGTTTCACAAGGTGTTGGATTTGTTTAGAAATTTCTTGCTCAGTTTTTTTCCCACCCTAATAAGTCACCCACCTAAAGTTCCTTACGCTTCTCACCAGACGTTCTTGTAGCAAGATCATATTTAGCTTGTGAGATTAGTTCTGTCGATGCCGGGGGTCGTCAACACGCGGCTCCAGAGCCACAAGCGGCTCTTTTACTGCCCTGTTGCGGCTCCAGAATCAGATTTGTAGGTAAAATTAAAATAATCCTCCTTTACAGTAAAATAAAGCTCTGCTGGTCATTCAACACAGTTTAACAATAAATGGTCTTAAACTCTGGAGTTCATGTAGAACTGCTAATTCACCCTTTAACCAGTCACCATAGCAACACAGACAACAATCTCACCCAGCTAGTAGACAACGAAACGGTAAAGAGAAAGAGTTAAGATGAACATCGATAATTTGGAGATGAATGGCCTCATTTGCATTTATAATCATTCCAGCTGGTTTTGTGATACGTTTAACCTGCAATGAGAAACTGACGAACACTGAAAATTAACGAAGCTTCAGCTCCTCTTTTGCCAGCGTCTTGTTCAAATTTCCCGTTCCACCTTAAATGGTGCAGCAGTTACATTCTGGTGCATTCCATTTAAGGTGGAACGGGAAAATTCGAACAAGAAGCTGGAGAATGAGAAGCGACTTCAGCCTTGTAAAAAGTCGAACGTTGAGAGACATTTTACAAGAAACTGGTCAGGTTTTGTGGAAAGGTTTCCTGCTAGAGATGTGAGAAAAGAGACTGTAGCTGAGCTAAAGCTTAAAGCAGAGCAAAGTAAGTCTGTGTTTTTGTTTATATTATATTTTTAGCCTGTACTAATACATTTAACACAGACACATTTACAGCCAAGATGGTAAAAGGTAACTTCAGTATATGGCCATAAAATGTGGCTCCCAAGGCGGATTGATTTGACACTTGGGTTGCGACCCCTGCTCTATGCAAAAAATATATATAAAATTTAAGTAAAATTACATAAGCATTTGTTTGAGATTACTCAACTCTGTGTGGTTTGAGCTAAGAGACTGTTTAAGCATGGAATGCACATTGGTGAGATATAAGCTTCCATTACTTGGAGCTGCATTAACCTTGTCGCAAACCCCAGTGGAGAACTGAAGAAGCTCAGTCCTTTTGGCTGATTGACGAGTTTTAGGGTTATTTTTTTTGTTGATATGTTGCTAAAGCTCTCAAATGTCCAGCTCTGCAGTAGCTTTAAAGCTGCCTGATTATCTGCCTTAAAGACACTGATGTATTAACAGTGTAGGAGGAAGTGAAGTGACGAGACAGAGAAAGATAGCAGCAGATCTCTCACCCCATTCAAACTAAGAGCCTCCTAATAAATTATAGAGTTATGGTCAGCTGAAGGTTCCCCAAAATAATGCAGCACTCAGTCTTTTCTTTGTTGTCCTTAAACGCTTCTTCTCAGGAGGTCAGGTGCTCCTCCATCACTGAACGAGACGATTATCCTCACATCGTTCGCTCATGAAATTCTTTCCAATGTCAGGACTCTGATATTAGAGCTCTACGATCCAGACAACCTTGACAACACCAGAGAACAAACTCTGTCTGAGGCTTGTGAAAGCATGTGTGGCGTTTTATTGGAAAGTGCCGAGAAAAGCTGTCTGACCTCGGAACGCTGATGTTATCCTCTCTCTGTCCCTTTTTCCCTCCACCTGCCTTCATCCCTCCATCCCTCCTCTCCTTTCGTCTGCAGTGGTACATGATCAGCATCGTGCACATCTACAACCGCTGGAGGAACAGCGAGATCCGTTGCTATGTGAACGGGCAGTTGGTGTCCTACGGCGACATGGCCTGGCACGTCAACACCAATGATGTAAGTGTTTCAGCCGTGACTAACAGGGCTTTCTCTCTCTGGGATGCACTGATGTGGTTTTTCTAGCCAGTAATTAATGCTTTTTTGTGTTAAACTCAACAAATAAATGAAATTCTGCACCAGAATTTTTCAAAATATGACATTTAAATTTGTTCCCCGTAGAGCAGGGGTGCCCATACTTTGTGGCTTGAGATCTACTTTTTCCAGTGGACAGGTCATCGTGGTCTACCCTTAAAAGCTTTGAAAGTTTTTTAATGTATTTAAGTGGCCTATATTGATTTTCACAGGGCAAACAACTGAAAATTCACACTGACCTTATTGTCAGTAAGGTTTGTGTAGTCTGGACCACTTTTGTCTTCCTGATTTCAATTTTAGCTGGAAATTGGTCGTCACAGTTTCTGTGTATAGTTTGAAAACGCCTCTCGACGTTCCCCTTCTTTGGAAGTTCAGTGGCTGTTTGGCAAATCAAGCAGATGCATTTGGAGTTTGACATGCTCTGTGTGGAAGGGATAAGTGTTCGGTGTCTCTGTGCAGGTCTTGCACTCGTCTTCTGACGAACCAATGAATAAAACTTTCTAGATTTCTAGAGAGGCGAACTCACAGCAGAGCTTTAGGCAAGCAGTAATTAAAGAGACAGTGGCCACATTTCACATCAGTCAATCACGTTGACCTGCCCGCCGCCAGAAGCAGTAAGAAAGTGCTGATATTTGATAGCCTGTTGGAATGAGGCGCTACCAGTGTGCACTGTGCGATCGACGTATTGGGCACCCCTGGTGTAGGATGTAATCACTTATTTTCAACAAAACATGTGACTGGGGATGTTCTGCTGACGACTCTATAACGTTAGAGAGGGGCATTTTAATTTCCTACTAGTTCTCATTCATCCCTGATATATACTGCCTCAGTTCTCTAATCAAGAAACGATGCATGCGTACAGAATATAATTCAGACAGCCAGTCAGCCGTCCACATTTTAGAACAGGCATATTTATTGACTAACTGGGTATTAAAATTTGGTATTAAATGAAAACTTTTTGGTACTCAGTATTAAAGAAATCAGTTTAATCACTACTATGAAAGTGTTGGATTTCAGCCCATGAGACATTAATAAATCAGATGTATACTGTTTCCATGCATTTTACTGTATATAATATGTATTAAATTATCACTGTAATTATCTACTGTAATTAACTCCAGTGTCAGGCTGATTGTAATAATTTAGTATTCTTGTTCATTAGAAAGTGTACACTAATGAGTCAAAACATTATGTGCACCCACAAATGAAGAGAATGGGGTTGATTATCTTGTAGCAGCAGTACGCATCAAGGCCTGGGACACATTAGACAGTAAGTGAATGGTCGGTTCCCGTAGTCGGCATGTTGGATGTGGGAGAAATGGGCTGGCATGAAGACCTGAACAACCTTGACAAGGCCTGGATTGTTATGACTGGACACCTGGGTCTGAGCACCTGCAGCAAGCCTTGTAGGGCGCTCCTGGTACAGTTATCCAGGGAGGGACAAACCACAGACTGGCGACAGGGTGTTGGGCTCTGAAGGCTCAATGCGTGAGGGCAGTGAAGACTATCCCGGGTGGTCTGAACTGACAGGAGGACTACTGGCTCCTGTGTGGCGCAGCCGTCTAAGCGTTGGCCCTATCATCAGGAGATCGCAAGTTTGATCCCTGGTGATGCTACAGCCATCTGTGGCCAGGAGTCCAAGACAGCACAATAGTCCTCACTCTCTCTGGGTGGGTAGGATGGTTTCCCATTCTCCCCCCATCACTCAACGCAATGCCAGTCAGCACAGGCGTCTGTTAGCTGACAGATCTGGCGTTTGGCGCTTTCCTCCAAGCATGTTCGGCTGTCTGGTGACGTTGCGTCAGCAGCAGTTCGAAAAGATGCGGTGGCGCTTCACAGGTCTCGGAGGGAGCCTGTGTTTGCCTTCGCCCTCCTAGCGCTGGCAGTATCATGTGATCTGGGGGGTCCTAACTAGTGGGTGGAATTGGAGACAACTAAATTGGGAAGAAAATTGGGATCCAAAAAAAAAGAGGGCTACTCTGGCACAGAAATTTAATGATGGTCATGGAAGGACTGTGGCACAACACACAGTGCATCATATGGGTCTGCATAGCCAGATGATCAGTGTCCATGCTAACCAATGTCTACCATCAAAAGCTACAATGGGCATTAGACCTGGACCTTTGGAGCACTGGAAGAAGAGCGCCTCCTGTTTTCTTTTATACCATGTGGACAGCTGGGAATGTGTGCGCCATTTCCCTGGGAGGACAATGCGGGGTGGGACGAAAACAGGCCAGTGGAGGGAGTTCTACTGGGATACCAAGAGTCCAAGCATTCATATGGATGTCAGTTTCACACATGGACCAAGTACACTCCTTCATGGGAATGGTATTCCCTGATGACACTGGCCTTTTTCAGCAGGATAATGCATCTTGCCAGTCTGCACATAATGTTCAGCAGTGCTTTTAGGAACATGACAAAGAGTTCAGAGCGTTGCCCTCCCCTTCAAATCCCTCAGATTGCCCATCGGTGGGGTGAACTGGAGCAAGAAGTCCGATCCGCAGCGGCTGCACCTCGCAACTTACAGGGCTCAAAGGATCTGCTGCTAATGTCTTGGTGCCAGATACCACAGGGCGCCTTCAGGGGTCTTGTCGAGTCCATGGCTTGACGGGTTGGACCTCTTTTGGTGTTGGAGGACCAACAGCATGTTAGGCAGGTGGTCATGATGTTTCATATATCGGCTGTTGATATATTGTTCACCCCTACTCTTTCTAACACCCCCAGTACTATCCTATATGGCGGAGTTGCTGTGGTCAGGCATTGTGCCCCCTGGAGAGGCAAACAAACTTTACTAGTGCGCATAAGTAATGACTATGATCATAAAAGAGATGAAAGTTGTTCATCACCACCTTGTGTAGCCTGCTCATGCCTCGCGGGGCCCTGACGATCGCAGTATAGATAAGAGCTTCTCTCTGAAGTGGAAAGTGAGTAAGTACAGAGTAAAAAAGCACAGCTAAAGACAGAGTCTGCAGCAGCAGAGGTGATGGATTGGACTCGGTGTGTGTGCGTGCAGGTCGGGGAGTGTGTATACGCCCACAGGCATGTCTACATTGTGTGCTGTGTGGACTGCATGTGCTTAAATGTGATAAAAGGATATGAAGAGTGAGATTACACAAACCTGTGATCAGGTGTGAGCAGGTAAACAGGTTCAAAAGGCTCTGCCGCAAACTCACCGATAAAGCAGCGCTGATGCCCTGATAAGCAAATGCTATCAGTTACATCGCCTCTCTCTGCCGTTTCCTCCCCTTAATCTTGTTCTTTTCCCTCTCCTCCCCTCTCCTCCCCTCTCCTCCTCTCTCCTCCAGAGTTATGATAAATGTTTCCTGGGCTCGTCGGAGACGGCTGATGCCAACCGGGTGTTCTGCGGTCAGCTTGGAGCTGTTTATGTCTTTAGCGAAGCGCTCAACCCGGCGCAGATCTTCGCCATCCATCAGCTGGGACCCGGGTACAAGGTAAAAAATCTGAACTGACTGCCAGGATGGACCTTGTCAGGCAGCTCTGCTAGATACACTGCCCGTCCAGAGTTTAGGGGCAGCTTGCCTTCTTTTGAAATTTGAAGAGTAAGAATTACTCTTACCTGCAGAGCAAAGCTAATAGGCAACAGAATACTGACATCACAGCAGAGGTGTAATATACATATCACTGCTGTCGGGAGAAAACCTCGTATCTCCATTTTTCAGTTTTTTACATAATTTGGAAATACATGTTACCCTTTACATTGTATGTAAATTTCATGATGAATGGGCTAAAAGAAATGACCTAAAATGACTTGGGAAAAAAGTCTGGTTCCATTGACTTACATTAAAAATAAAGTAGGTTTTTTCCTTCTCCTGTAAAGTTACCATTTTGGAGATACGAGGTTTCTTCCAACAGCAGTGATATGCTGTGCTCATCATTCAGAAAGTGGTCCTTTAACCGTTTTTACCTCCTGACAGTGTGATACGGCATTATATGTTTGCTAAATCAAATCCAGAATCCATTCCAAGTGCCACGCACTGATGAGAGCTTGCCACTTAGCAGCGAACCGAACAGAATTGTCAAAGTTTTCCAAAGTAGCGCTTGGAATGTTATAAAACACGTAAAAAATTGCTGCTCTATATAAACTCTTCAGAGTCCGAATCTTTGTTCTAGATGTACCGAGTGTGCAAGGGATTTATCTTGGTGCAGATATCGATATAAAATTAAATTCAATAAAACAAATATTGTAAAATATGTATGTTAAAGTACATATGTGTGCTAATTACAGTGGAGGAAAGTGGAATAGGGTCTTATACCAAAGAATTATGGCATGATATACAGTGGTTATACATGTGATATACAGTGATTACGTATATGTGGTCTTGACGATTGCTGTGCCGTACTGTCTGGTAGCAAAGGTACCCTTGGTTCGCTGGCAAGAAGAGTAACAAGACAGAAAAGCGATATTTGTCAGTTGTGCTTTCAGTTTTGCACATTTTTCAAAGAACAAGTCGCTTAAATCTTAAAAAATCTTGCAGTGCAAAGTGTCTCCTAACCTTTACTGTACAGTGTATCTTACTGGATGTAGTGGTGTACGGCTGGAGGGCTTACAGTGAAATGTTCACCTCCAGAGACGTTACAGTTGTTATACTAGATGCTGCTGTGGGTACACGCTCAGAAAGCTCTCTACCTCTCAGGATACCCTCAGGGTACGTCTTCAGTAGCTTCAGTTAGGGGATGTATTGGACCATATTCTGTTGCAGTCATATTCTTTTAAGTTGTTTTAACCCCATACACCCTGTCCTTTCTTTAGCCGTCTTATTGTTTTATTTTATTTTATTGTTTTTTCTTATTTTTCTTTCTAAAGTTAAAGCTACACTATGTAAGATTTGGGGATTTGGAGACCTCTCTGTTGGAAATGTGTAATAGCATGCAACGTGAGGAAGAACGTTTTATAACAAGTTGTGATTCAACTCAACAAGTGTGTTGAAAGAAGGACGTGTCTTTTGATGATGTAAGTGAATTATCCACTACTCTCATCTTGTGTTCATCAGTATCATGTATAACATGAATTCTAGACATCGAGCTGGACCTTCTTTTTGAGCCTGTGGAACTGAAGAACTCGCACAGTACTCACATTGTGTTGGCCATTTAAGGTCAAGCTTTTATGGCTCTCATATTTACTGTTGTAAGCATAGGACGTACAAACCGGATTCCAAAAAAGTTGGGACACTAAACAAATTGTGAATAAAAACTGAATGCAATGATGTGGAGGTGCCAACATCTAATATTTTATTCAGAATAGAACACAAATCACAGATCAAAAGTTTAAACTGAGAGAATGTATCATTTTAAGGGAAAAATATGTTGTTTCAAAATTTCATGGCATCAACAAATCCCAAAAAAGTTGGGACAAGGCCATTTTTACCACTGTGTGGCATCCCCCCTTCTTCTTAAAACACTCAACAGACGTCTGGGGACAGAGGAGACCAGTTTCTCAAGTTTAGAAATAGGAATGCTCTCCCATTCATGTCTAATACAGGCCTCTAACTGTTCAATCGTCTTGGGCCTTCTTTGTCGCACCTTCCTCTTTATGATGCGCCAAATGTTCTCTATAGGTGAAAGATCTGGACTGCAGGCTGGCCATTTCAGTACCCGGATCCTTCTCCTACGTAGCCATGATGTTGTGATTGCTGCAGAATGTGGTCTGGCATTATCTTGTTGAAAAATGCAGGGTCTTCCCTGAAAGAGACGACGTCTAGATGGGAGCATATGTTGTTCTAGAACCTGAACATAGTTCTCTGCATTAATGGTGCCTTTCCAGACATGCAAGCTGCCCATGCCACAAGCACTCATGCAACCCCATACCATCAGTGCTGCAGGCTTCTGAACGGAGCGTTGATAACAACTTGGGTTATCCTTGTCCTCTCTGGTCCGGATGACATGGCGTCCCAGTGTTCCATAAAGAACTTCAAATCGTGACTCATCTGACCACAGAACAGTCTTCCATTTTGCCACACTCCATTTTAAAAGACCCCTGGCCCAGTGCAAACGTCTGAGCTTGTGGAGCTTGCTTAGAAATGGCTTCCTCTTTGCACTGTAGAGTTTCAGCTGGCAACGGCGGATGGCACGGTGGATTGTGTTCACTGACAATGCTTTCTGGAAGTATTCCTGAGCCCATTCTGTTATTTCCTTCACAGTGGCATTCCTGTTTGAGGTGCAGTGACGTTTAAGGGCGCGGAGATCACGAGCATCCATTAGAGTTTTACGGCCTTGACCCTTACACACAGCGATTGTTCCAGATTCTTTGAATCTTTTGATGATGTTATGCACGGTTGATGATGATAACTTAAAAGTCTTTGCTATTTTACGCCGGGTAACACCATTCTGGTATTGCTGCACTATCTTTCTGCGCAACAATGGTGGAATTGGTGATCCTCTTACCATCTTGGCTTCAGAGAGACACTGACACTCTGAGAAGCTCTTTTTATACCCAATCATGTTGTCAATTGACCTAATTAGTGTTAATTGGTCTTCCAGCTGTTCGTTATATGCTCAATTTCCTTTTTCCAGCCACTTATTGCTACTTGTCCCAACTTTTTTGGGATTTGTTGACGCCATGAAATTTTGAAACAACATATTTTTCCCTTAAAATGATACATTCTCTCAGTTTAAACTTTTGATCTGTGATTTGTGTTCTATTCTGAATAAAATATTAGATGTTGGCACCTCCACATCATTGCATTCAGTTTTTATTCACAATTTGTTTAGTGTCCCAACTTTTTTGGAATCCGGTTTGTATAATATACAATATAACATACAATGCTAGTTGACAAATGTACAAAACACAGTATGTGTCTTGAATGTTGTTTTATTTTGCTGAGAAGTTGGATAAAAACGCACCAGCAAAAATAAGAGTGGCACATTTTAAGAAAAAAGCTATGAAAAACCAACAAGTGGTTATGAAAAAATACGACTCAAACGACTAATTCATTGTAGAAGTAGGAGATGCACGGATTCATCCGGTATACCACTTTAGAAGTCAAGTTATTTAGTTAAGACAATATTTAACATCGTTTTCGATAAGCTTTCATGCGCACGCTTTTATATCAGGGTTAGAACGCAGTATTTGTCTTTATATTGTTCGTTTCTGGTTTTACTATGTTGCCAAATAAAAATATTTCTTAGTTGCAGTTTACAGTTGTTTAAAATGGCGCTTGTTAAAAGTGAATGTACATCCCAGAATAATGTGCCACAAAATTAGGTTAACTTAAGAATCCAAAATGGTTTTACTTGGTAAAACGTAAATAAATAGTACAAATAATTTAATAAATTGAGACATTGGCTTAATGGGCTCCATTAGCTGACCTCCAGTCGGTTATTTTCATGCAGCTACTGAACTTCTTTTGCAGGTTTACAGACTGTCTGTAATAGATCTTTTTTGACATACATGCAATTGTGTTCACGAAGAGCCAGTGATGCCTGTGATGTACTCAGAAGAGCATATTGTGAAGTAATTTATCACAAAAGTGATATCAGACTACTCGGCTTCGTTATTAGAGCGAGACGGAGGTGAAAAAGGTGAGGTGTTGCTTTTTCACTGTTTACAGGCTTTATCTTCCATTCGGCGTTGTTGCCATGGTGACGCTGAATGATGGCACACGCGCAGTGTAAAAAAAAACGCATGAATTCAGGTCACATTAAGGTCGTCATGGCCACGAATCCGATATGTGTCCGATCTGGGACCACAAACGAAAGTGGCTCAGGTCGGATTTGTGTGTCCGCACAGCTCTGAAAACATCAGATCTGAGTCACATTAGGGCAAATAATTGGATTTGAGCCACTTCAGCCTGGTAATGTGAACGTAGCCTAATTGTACCACATTCTGTTGCGGTGATATTCTAGAACGATCCTCTGTCTTTACACCTGTTCCTCCTTGACTGCCTGTTGAATCCTAGAGCAGCTCTGAATAAAAGCTAGATCTTCTGCTGCTGAAGTGTTCAGTAATTGCGACAGTCAGGTTGCAGTTTTGATCTGAACGAAACGTCCTTTCCAGCGAGACGCGTCTCTGTTTCCAGACTAGCCTGCTCTTACCCTCGCTCCTATCTCGAGGCCCGGCTGTCTCTGAAACTAATCAAAGGCGAGGTGCCTCAGCAGGGACGCTGGGGCCGGAGTCCGGAATGAATCCGAGCTCGAGCAGGAAGCGAACTCGTTTCCCGTGACGGCTGTGACATCTCCCTGCATTAACACCTTCTCGTTGATGCATTCCTCTTGGAGGCAGAAGTCTGGTGGGGGTGTGTGTGTCTGTCCAGTGTGGGAATCCAGGAGTCTTTCTGTTACTGAAGCATAATTCGTGATGAGGATCTGAGCTGATTGCAGTGCATCCAGGCATTCCCATTTCCTCCAATCCTGATAGCACCTTTCTGCAGTTTTTCTGCAGTTTTCCTGCCTCTCACTCTGAATCCTTCTCCCCAGGGGTCTCACCCTTCCTCCC